TACATCCTCTCAGAACTAGGCTCGCTGGTAAAGTGGCAGCTTCTTCTACTTTTCTCGCGACTACAAATACATCATCAAAACCATCCACCATGCCGAACATAAACTCCTCCGCAGGATTCTCCGTGAATACTACGCACACATCGAAAACAACCCTAATACCCTCATCTCCCAGTTCTACGGTCTACATCGTGTCAAGATGGCATATGGCCGCAAGATCCATTTTGTTGTCATGAACAACCTCTTCCCACCCCATCGAGATATCCATCAAATGTACGACCTGAAAGGTTCAACCATCGGTCGAGATTTCAAGGAAGAAGACCTCGAAGCAAACCCCCGAGCTACCCTGAAAGACCTCAATTGGCTACGAAGGAACCGCCATCTAAACTGCGGTAAAGCGAAACGAGAAGTCTTCCTTGCCCAGCTCCGTCGAGATGTCACCCTACTCCAGCGCCTCAAGATAATGGACTATTCCCTCCTGATCGGGATCCATGATGTGGAAAAGGGCAATGAAGAGAAACTCCGTGATCGAACACTTCAGATCTTCCAGCCTGGAGGCGATCTGGCTGACGAACAACAGCCAAACTTGCTTATGCGAACGCCATCACGGCTGGAAAATGCACGAAAGGCAAGAGAGCTGAGAGAAATGATTAAACGCGAGAAGCCTGTCCCCATGGAGCATACTACTGCCAAGATGCCGGACGAGGTGCTGGATGAACGGAAAAACTTGGTCTTTTACTCAGATGACGGCGGGCTTAGGGCAACACACGAGAATGGGGATCCCGGTGATGAGATATATTACCTTGGTGTTATTGACTGTTTAACTCATGTAAGTCTTCCCATGTGACTCACCGCTGGAAAATTTGAACAGGGAACTATTGCTAACGGCTCGATAGTACGGCATGGTAAAGAAGGCAGAGCATTTCTGGAAAGGACTTTCTCATCCCAGCTCGCAAATCTCAGCTATACCACCCGAAGCGTATGGGGAGCGTTTCCTAGAGTTCATCACAAGCATCACCAAATCGAAGGAGGAAGTAGAACGCGAAAAGCAAGCTGCTGAGGCTGCTCAGACCCACACAACCGACGAAGCGGCCACCCCTGCGGGAAAGAGATCCATCGATACACAGAAGCCACTGCCCGCACACCCGGAGCCATCCCGGACACTGAAGACGGTGAGTACCCCGGCAGACTTCAATAATGGCAGTGCAGCGGCTACGTTGCCTGTTGTTGAAGAAGTCGGTGAGAATAGCAGCACAGGAGGTAGGAGTGGGCGAAGCAACGTGAGTAGAGGAGGAGAGAGAGATGACGCACCTGCGGATGAAGACCAGTGGACAGACATGGAATCCAAACGGCACAGTTTCCGTACCGCAAGAACACCAGCTAGCCCGCCACCGGTATCTGCGCCTCCTCCAATCCCAACATCAAGCATCGATACCATCGAACTTAATTCGCACACCCATATGAACAATCCAACTGATAAGAAAGGAACCATTCGTGCCGTGAGGAGTAGTACCGAGAGAGACAAGGAGGCATTGCCTACAACTGATAGACCGCCGATGCCTCAACGACCGCCCCCTACACCACCGACATAGATATCCTACTACAACTACTACTGCCTGATCTGTTTTCTGTTTGATTGTTTGCTTTAATTGTACTTTTACTTACCATACCATACCTCGCAAAGGATTAGAACCCCCTTTCCCAGCTAATTTCATTCCTTTTTCTCTTTTTTTTTATCTCTTTTGTTCTCATCATTATCCATCTCATCCTGTCTAGCAATCTTTAAAGCAAGCATGTCTTTCCTTCTTACTTCCTTCCATCCATGGCTATGCACGCCACATTTTTTCCTCTGTCTTGTGTGCCGCTTCTATCTTTCAATCAATTTATACCTTTCTGTATATTTCTTTTCTCTTTTCTACTGCTCCCCGCTCTCAGTTCCTAATACTACCCACGTATACGGAGTACAGCTACTTTGTTTAGCTGTATCTTTACCGTGTCACGACATTGCACTTTCAACTGTTTCACAGACTGTCCTTATCTTGTTCCACTGTTGCTCATTTACTGCGTTCGTCTCCTACCGAGCAATCGAGAACATCCTTCGTCCACGCAAGCTGCTTCTTTCTTTTCTTTTCTTTCAAATGTCTCGTTCAAAACCTGACTGGCCAGGTGGCTCGGTAGCTTAAATATAGCTCCGAGCTAAGTTCGCCGAACCAGCAAACACGTCGTTTGATACCTTCCCGTCTTTTATACTTGCTGCAGGGGTTTTTCCTCTTTTTTCCTATGGTAGTATAGATATCCTCGTGCACCGTGTCATTTGTTTCTATTCTTTGCATTTAAATTTGTTGTGGTGAAGAAAAAAAAAACACTCTACACTCTTGTTATTCGGCGATAAATTGTCTTGTTTTACGCTCATCTTTCTTTCTCAAACGACTCCGCTGTAAATCAAAATTGATATTCAAAACAAATAACACAAACGGCTCAGCCACACTGATGACTAAGGTGAACGTTTGACCCACATTTCCGATTTTCTGGTTAGAGTTTCTTGGCATTAATTATACAATATTATTAATAAGGTTTATGTTTTTCATAAAATGCATAAAAAGTGGCTTACCATTGGCTGGATTTATTTACGATTTGCATGGTTTGTATCTCATGTTGTGTTTGTTAATCTTCACGATAGAACAACCACAGGAGTGGCCTGGATTAGAGTATGGAGAGTGACGTCCAATTGTCCTCGTTCCGTCTATCGTGAAGTAACACCAAGCTTGAAGAAAGCAAAATTGCCCCTCGTAGCTATTTGTAATGAGAACCAGCTCTGTCTCTACCTCTTGAATGATAGCAAGTATCAATGGATAAGGCAGAGACGAAGTGAGCTGGGTTGTTTGATCTATCGCGTCGAATACAGAGCTTATTCAACATTTCATCCTGAAGGAAAAAATGATTGAATTTCAAGGCATTGAATCTCGCCTTGTGCCCCACCCTGCGTCGCGAATGAATAGAATAAATGCTCCAGGTCCACTGAAGAAGATAATGCAAACTAAAAAGGTCAAACACAATTGGGGAGTATCGTTTAAGGTCTGGAATTCTATCGTAAAGTGTAGTCCTAATCATTTAGCCCTTCCAAGCATTGAACAATAGGGAAATTGATGAGATGGTATCAAAAACAAGGGGTTAAATCTTGACGGAGCGGGTAACAGAGCTAAGAAAATAAGCTGCTGCCTTGCATACCCCCTCGACCAAATGATGCCTCGCTGCCTGCGGCCATACCGGCCAAGACACGGCCCATGCCAGTTATATCCAGTTCTCCTCGCTGAAGCATGGTCTGGTCGTTTTCTTGGGCCATGGGAGCCTCACCTTGTAGCCCGGCTTTCTGCCTGGCTTCTGCGGAGTCCAAAAGGTTCTCTGCAAGGATGATAAGTCTGTGCTCCGCTGGGATGAGGATGGTTGGTATCGGAGTTTGATGAAACTGGTTTGCAGGGGTAGGAAGTGATAGGAATTGTATTCCCTTTTGAACCTCGCCAAGTAGATTGATGTGTTCGATCAAAGTTGGCTTTGGCCCAGCTTGGTTGTTGCTGAATAGCCCCTGTTTGCCATTATTTTTTCGGAGGCTAGCAAGGCTGGGAATGTATGCATTACGAGCTCCGTGCCAGAGAAGCACTGATTCATCCGCCGGCTGATCCCAGGTTTGGTTTGATGGTATTATGCAGATTGCGCCCCTGGTTGCGTGTTGAGTTGCGGAATTTGGTAGGCCTTTGAACAACGCCTCCTCTCGGATGCGACGTGTAGACGGAGTTAAGGGAGCGAATTGAGCGGGTTTTGATTCTGTGTCAGCATGGCCTTGAGATCGCGCAGGGCGTTCAGACTGCACCATACGCCCAGTTATTGCGAATGAGCTGAGTGAACTTGTTGACCTGCCTTGCTGGGTGGCACTATCGCCTTGAGAACTGTCAATGTCCCAGACTCCCCATTCGCCATTAGAGAGTAATGCGAAGACGCCTTTACCACCAAGCGCCCATTTTGCGTCGACTATTCCCTTGCGTCGAGGAACTTCTCCAGGTAATTGGTCGAAGTCGGTATACAAGGTGACAAGCCACTTCCCAGTTACATCGTTCGTTTCTGCGTTTGTCCCAGAACGTTTCCTATCAATAGTGGATGCATGCGGTGTAGAAAGACAGGAATAAACTTTGACAGAGCCATTTGTAAATGACAGAAGTAGTTGGGAATGGCGATCTGAAGGGTATTGGCAAGGAGAAAATGATATGCTGCTAGCCGGCGATTTGAGAAATTGTTGGCGGACTGGGAACTGCGGCTCTGTTGAGAGGTTGTATATCTTCCCCTGTGTTATTTCTCCATTGAAAGGGATACGGTATACGGAAAGTTTGCCTGATAGATCTGATGTATGAACAGCTACAAGAATTTCCCACTTTTCGGCAGAGGGTGAAGTATCTTGTATGGTACGACCACGGCTTTGAGACCGACGACTACCATCTTCATCTTTCGGGCTTTGGCACGTGAATGTTAAGGCAGCTGTGGCAGGAAGACCTTGGACGGATCCCTCTCCGAGACTGATAATTTGTGGTTTCCAGAAATCTGCACCCAGGTTGCTAGGAGAGGGCGGTATAAGTGGGACTGCAACAACGCGCGCCGAAGAGTCACCACAAGATGGCGGTGACCACTATCATGTTGGATAAAATAGGCGATATCGAGCCGAGGAATCGTGCTGCCCCGGGTAGAATACTGGGTACCGTAATACCCAAAACCTTCGTATCTAGCTTGACGTCGAGATACTGAATAATGTTCTTAAATGGCCGCGAAGGGTCTATTTCTTCCTCATCATCCTCGAACTCTGGAAGTGCGATTTCCGGCTGGGGAGTAGGAGCGGGTTCCTCGTCATCCGAGTCGATGATCATAATTGAGTCGCTGTTGTCCACGCCATTGACAGGTGCTTTAGCTTCCGGGCCATTCTGTTGAGCCTTCTGCTTCTTGAAGTTCTTGCCTCCTCGCCAGAGTATTCTGATGCCAAAGTCATGGCCGTATATTATCACGGTGGATCCGTTGGGACTTTGTATTGGATAAACTTTAGAATCATATACACGATGTGGGAAATGATAGCTAAACAAAAAACAGTTAGACATGTTAAATTGAAATACAGATATTCAAATAAGATAGTACCTTAACTGGAGGCCATCGGGCCGAGGGCGAACAAGCGGATCGAACGCGCCGTTGGACATATCTGACTGGATACCCATCTTGCGAGGTCAGGTAGGCACAGCTTCAGGCGCACCCAAAAGCATCCCAAGATAACGAAGAGTAGTAGAAGATGCGCGCCTTCGTTATCCCAGGCGGCTGCACTAAGATACTCCGTCTGTTGATTGTGGGAGACGGTGGTTGTTCCTTGTGTAATGTCTGTCGCAAGCTTGGGGGTTTGCCACAAAATCTGCGTTTGGAAGCTCTCGCGTTAAAATCGCACACGCGCGCTTGTTGACGCTTGGCCGAACACAACAACCACCACCACACAACCTCCCCTTGGAAACAGTCAATATCAGAAAACACACATACTCCGTCACAACAAACTCTCCAGTGTATGGATATGAGTATAGATCTGAGGGTGGCTTCAGAGCCATTTTCCTGCGGTTAAGAAGCATGGCTGCTATAACATCCCTTGGCCTGCACAAACCTTCAGCCTTCGGGTACCTGGTTGCGGAGTCAATACTTCCAGCAGATGCGCCTGAAGATACCTATACCTGGCGATGCTACAATTCAGAAAATGCAACCGGCGGGATAATTGAAGAAGAACTTCTCTACACAGACAAATGTGTAGTCTGGTCGCGCGGCGGGATCGTGAAGAGGTCCTTTAATTTTGATGTGGAAGGTGAGAGCATCGTGGAGGCTCTCTTTACCTATTTTCCAGCAGGCAAGTCAAATGCTGTGAAGCGGACTGGAGCTGGGTTAGAAAATGATTTAACGGCCCAGACCGGCGACCAGGGACAGACGGCCGCTTCTCTCAAAAGCAAGCACCAAGGCCGTTTGAATGGGAAGATACGCAAGAGGGTGATCATCCAGGACCAAAAGGATTCTAGCAGCATTCCGGGACTTGGTGTCCTTGAAAATGAAAATAATTCTGAGTCTTCTAGAGCGCTAGTCGTAGTGCTAAAGTCACAAGTTCACATATTCTTCATTTCTGGTGATAGCCATGTCATTCCACTGCCGTTTGAGCTTGACTCAATATGGCCGACCCCAAACGGACTACTATTCCAACGGAAATTGCCTGAAAAACATGATATACCAGTACCATCTGCTCCTCCGAATTCTTTCGTTTCTTCCCAACCTATGCATCCCACGTCAAGACATTCTGCTGCATCATTTAGACTCTCCAGCGGGACGGGAAACCGGCCATTGCTAACTCTTTCTCCATCGCACCCTTCAAAATTTCTTCTTAAGACTGAAAAAGATGACTCTGCACCGCGAGTATTCTCTCTCCTTGACCCTCACTCGGAAATGGGACTCGTGGCAGTCACTTCCTCCCCACATGATGATGAACTACACAAGCGAGCTGACATTTTAAGCCCAACTGAGGAGCTGCTTTATGTATCCCCTACTAGTGAAGTTTCATTGGGAGTGTCTGCAAAAGGCGCCCCTCCTCTGATCTTACTGGTTACGTTAAACCCGAAATCAGGGATGCACAACATATGGGTTGCTAGGTATCGACCCAGGGAATCCCCTATATCTCGGCAGAATCAGCGGCGGAAATCATCCGGCACTCGCTCAAAACGGCGAAGCTCCCACTTTGATGTCACCGGAACCTCAACACCTGTTGGCCCAGGGCCATCAAGTTTCCGGGAAAGTTTTGGGCCAGGCCAGGGGCGGAACGCATCTCAACAGCATAATCTCGAGGCCAAACAGGAGGGAGCTACAGACCTTGCTTCACACCTTGGACAGGAGTTTGAAGACGTTGGTGTAACGTCTAAAGCGTCGAGGAGAGTGAGCTCTCTGCTCGCCCGTAGTGACTTAATGGCAAACAATGATAGATCTACATTCTCTGATCTGGCGGGACACCAACTCAAATCCTCCTTCCACGGTGGCTCCCGAAGGGGGGAATCATTTGGAGGTACCGGCCTTCGCCTCAGTCAAAGCTTTAACCGAAGGGGCTCCCTCCCACCGGGAACCGCATCTCTCTACAGCAACGGCAGCAGCTTTCTTGATGCGCCCGTTGATAAACTCCTGGAAAGTTTAAACAATGGCGGCGATTTCGACGGGTTTGAAAGTATGGGAATTAAAGAAACTGTGTCCAACCTCCCCCGTGAGGTTATCCTATCGAAAGTAGGAAGTGTGCCGTCAGGAATTGTATCAACCAATGCTCTTCCGTACAGTCAGAAAACCTGTCCGTTCGAAGTCTTTACCCTGACTTCATCTGATGAGTCTACACTAAAGGACCCCGAATCAACGCCCCTAGCAGTCTGCATCCTCAATCGAAACTCGAAGGAATTGATCGTTGTAACTCTAAGCGCTCAGTATTTAAGGTCTCAACCCCGCCAATATGAAAGAGACAATGATATCCCAACATATAAAGTTCGCGCATTGAATGTTCGCCACGGTTCCAACGTTCTCGACTGCTGCAAATTGGTGGACAAAGGCGTTTCTCGAATGCTTGTGCTTTCTTCTACTAGTGATTGTCGAGGAGAACTAACTCTCCAGGCCCCCTGGAGCACATTAGTAAGGGTAGAGCTCCCAGATAGTATGGTTCTACATGAGCCGTCCAATATATCCCTGGAGCTAACCCCTTCAAATCTCCGTGAAGAGGGACTTAGAAGAGTGTTATGCAAGACTCCTTTGAATATGCATCGTCTCAGCCAACCAACTGCAGGTGGAAAAGTAGACATTATGGATGAACAGAATAGAAAACACAGAGTGCAGATCCAGCTTCAGCCTTTCAACTCTCTTGTGAAGCGGATACTCTCTCTTTGTCGATATGTTTTACGGCACTCCGAGAAAGCCGGTGATGGGGTCCATATCGGGTGGTGGCAAGCCCTCAAATGGCTTCGTGCAAGAGATGTAAGGGAGGAAAATTTGGAGTGGACCGCTCTGGTAGTAATTCTCTTCTCAATGGCCGTCTATTTCATCGATGATATCGCTATCGACACTAAAGTTATACCAAAGAGGAAAAGGAGAGGGGGCCTAATGCGATCCAGCACCGGAAGCTCAATTGACTTGACGGATTGGCACAGCATGGTTGAACAGGAATCGGGCTCAGCAGGAATTTGCGCGCCGTGGATGACAACCGCCGCCTGGGACTGGATACGAGAAGAAAACGCCAAAACTCCAATTGAAGGGGCCCAGAATTACCGGCCAGTTGACAACAGTAAAGCAGAAAATCAATCAAACGACAAAAACACATATATTACCCGGTGCTCACAGCTTGCCCGAGATTTCCTTTCTTCACCACAGGGTGAAGCAGCTACTGGTGGAGATGGATATCTCCCCATTGCTATTTCACGAGACCAAGGTACACGAAGAACTGCCCTTGGTACAATTCTAGTAGGGCTGCACCTCCTTCGCGAGGAGCTTAAGCTATCGGTTGCCAACACTGATAACTCCCGTTCTGAAAAAGGGCTCTTACTTCCTATTCTTGCTCAGATGGGAGGATGGTTGGGTTGGGATTCCTGGACCTGGAAAGAGGGTAGCTACTATAGCACAGAAACTGCAGGTATTGACGGATGGGCATTCGAAGATACTCACATTACTGGGCTAGATATGCCCACAGAGCCTTTCACACCTCCATCTATTTTCACCTTCATTGAGAATACCTTCCAGCGCACTCCTTCTACCTTCCTTACGCTAATGGATGTCGTATCTAGCTCTACCATCACACCTGGAAGTGGTAAGATTTGGGACCAAGCTGTAAATCTAACCCCTAGAACCTTGGCCCTTACTGGATTCTTTTCTGAAGTTGGAAATAAACGATCTGCACCTGAAAGAGTGGCCCTATTACTTCGCTGGGGGATCACATCCTCGCTGATTGATACCCTTCCAGATGGCATCAGCACTCCTTTACACGAAGCCATTTTTAACTGTCAGGGGGATCCGCCACTATCCTGGGGTCCGTCACTACTTGAGCTTGTGGATAGGGAAGACTTGTTTCTTTCTACGTCTAGCGAGACTCCCCAGCTCCTAGCGTCTCGTTCTCAGTTCATTCAGCCCCATGATGCCCATAGGGATGTCCGCAGTATTGGGAATTCAGTGCTTGACAGTAGCTCAACTAATTCATTCGAGATTTCAGCGGAGGCCGACCGTCACTCGATCACTAAGCTGATATTTCGTGATGATAGGCGCTACTTCGAAGCCGCAAGGATTCTCAATCAGATGAAAGCTCCAACTGCTGAATGTGTACCAGAGCCTGACTGGTCGGAGTCCGACCTTTTGGAAGCACAAAAAGAACTTGTCCAACTAGTAACATTAAGAACATTGTCCATTCCTGCAGGGCGAGCTATGCTTTGTTTCGACGGGCGCGTGCCTTTACTCACTGAAAAGCTACCAATTCCATCGTTCTCGCTACAATGTGTTATGAAACCGTCAAACGTTACGATCAGTGCTGATAGATCAGCATTCGTGGAAGAAAAAGCATGTTGGGCTTTTTTCCATAACGGTGTATCCACTGGGTTGGCAATCTCAAGATGTGCCAAAGGGATTGACACCTCATGGATACTATATAATAAACCTAACGAGCTCACTAACAGACATGCTGGATTTTTACTGGCATTGGGGCTCAACGGGCATTTGAAAACCCTTGCTAAATGGGTAGCTTTCAAGTACTTGACCCCTAAGCATACCATGACCTCCATTGGCCTACTTCTCGGATTATCCGTATCCTATCTAGGAACAATGGATACCCTGATTACTCGCCTTCTTTCTGTTCATGTTACCCGGATGTTACCACCAGGCGCAGCAGAGCTCAATCTATCTCCCTTGACGCAGACCACCGGTATAATGGGCATAGGACTCCTCTACTGCAATTCCCAACATCGCCGCATGAGTGAAGTGATGCTTTCCGAAATCGAACACATGGAAGAAGAAGAGACTTCACTTTCCCAGGAGCCTTTGCGATATGAAGGATACCGACTCGCTGCCGGGTTTGCGCTAGGATTTGTTAACTTGGGAAAAGGAGGCGACCTGCGAGGTCTTCAAGACATGCGAATTGTGGAGAGATTGCTGGCCTTAGCAGTGGGTACGAAAGAGGTCAATTTAGTCCACATTCTTGACAAAGCAGCAGCAGGAGCCACAGTTGCAATAGCAATAATATTTATGAAGACGAATGATAAAGCTCTAGCTCAGAAGGTTGATATACCGGATACCGAAGTCCAATTTGACTATGTTCGCCCTGATATATTCCTTCTTCGAACACTGGCAAGACATCTTATCATGTGGGATTCCATAAAAGCGAGCCAGAAATGGATACAGAAGAGCCTCCCGTCATTTTACCGGCGTAAGTATCGTTTATCCGCTATTAGACGATTATCTACCGATGACATGCCCTACTACAACATTGTCGCTGGGCTTTGTTTTGCTTTGGGTCTTCGATTTGCCGGATCAGGGTCCATAGAAGTACGAGATCTTCTGGTGGCACATCTTGACCAGTTCATAAGGATTTGCCGCATCTCGGCCTTGAATTATGACGCCAAATTAACACAGAACTCCGTACGAAACTGTCAAGACATTGTTGCACTCTCGGCTGCAGCAGTCATGGCTGGATCTGGTGATCTAGTGACGCTCCGCCGGTTACGCTCATTGCATGGGCGCGTTGATGCCGATACACACTACGGAAGCCACATGTCAACCCACATGGCTCTGGGCATGCTCTTCTTGGGCGGAGGTACATATACCCTTAGTACCTCCAATATTGCTGTTGCCTCCCTTCTCTGCTCATTATACCCAATTTTCCCGACCAGCGTACTAGATAACAACTGTCACCTCCAGGCATTTCGTCATCTATGGGTTTTAGCGGCTGAACCTCGGTGTTTGGTACCGAGGGATATCGATACACGGCGACCTGTCACGATTCCGGTGTCGTTGACGCTTAGTACAGGAGAGGTGAGGTCAGCTACGGCCCCTTGTCTTCTTCCTGAGTTGGATGAGGTATCCTCGATCAAAATCGCCAGTGCCGATCACTGGACCATCACGCTGGACTTTGCTAGTAATGAAAGCTTAAGAAACAAGTTCCGGGACGGAGACCAATCAGTCTACCTGCGAAGACGAGCGAACCATAATGATTCGGAGCGGTCAGTGTTCTCTACCACCCTTGCTGGGCTTAGCGATGCCCAGGACATACCTCCACCAGCAGCAATCCCGAGGAACACACGACCTTTCTACGCAATGCCCCCTACAAGTCTCCATGCTTCCTTACAGCCCAGTGAGAAGGGACCTGGCCAAGCTCGCATGCCGCCTCGCCACATCTGGGATTTTATATTCGATCTCCCTGCGTTTTCATCTCTGGATATGTCCGAGCGGATGGCTGTACTTCCACAAATTCCATTCCATGAATCTCTGAAACTACACCCTAATGGAAAGAAGCGAAGTAGGGCGAGTCCACCATCTTGGTTGCGCCCAACATCTGTCGATACAAGGCTCGTTCTCAACAGGACTATGCGTAGCCTCGTTTCAGCTGCGACCAGCCACGGAGCGAGTGAAGAGGTGGTTCGAGATCGGCTCTGGCAGCTGCGGCTAATCTTTGCATGGATGGACAGTGCAAAGAATAGCAGTAGTGATGACGGTGGGAGTGGTGGCCAGGACAAGGACGGCGTTTCTGTGTCGAGGAGCAGATGGCTCAAGCAAGAAGTCATCGAGGACGCCCGATGGAACATCTGGAGGATACAGTCGGGAGACACCAGCGTTTTAGATGTAGAATAAATCTTAGCAGTGACCTATATCTCTATACCAACTTACCTCCTGTCGAATACCTCATATCCATATCCATAATATCTATATCAACCTCCTATGATTAGTCAGCAATCGATACGCAAAAGCAACGACGTCAACTTTGCAGCTGGAAGAAAACGAACTCGCATTCACATTTCTCCCCGACAGACAAACTGCAGACCATTTTCATGGCTGGAATGCAAGCATCGTCTCTTTTGCTCGGCCGACCGCGTGCGACGTCTCAATGACCCGGCGACAGCGCAAGCAGCCCGAAAGTCGACGCCGGACGGGCTGCTGGATGTGCAAGGGTACGGTCCATACGAAAACCCCCCCTTTCATGCAGCAACGGAGATGCAGCCTCCCTCCCGCTGTGGGAGGGATTCCCTGTATCTCCTTTGTGCTCCCGTGCTTTGTGGCTTTTTTTGACCCAGTGAATGCTGACCGGAGGTCTCGGGCTTGATTCGTTCTTGGGCCGCAGAGAAGCATGTACAGTGTACGGAAGAAAAACCGCGGTGCAGTCGATGCGTCCGGCTGAATCTCAACTGCGTCCGGGGGCTGAAGCTGCTCTGGAAAGAAGATGCATTGCAAAGGGGGATCCGGTTCGGCCGTGAAGGTGATTTATACTGGACTTTTCCTTTGATAAACTACCTACTTGTCTTTGGTTTTAGGCGATATATCTGATGTTCGCCACTTGTACTCGAGCAGGCAGACTGATATTCCTGAGACAGGCGCCAAACCAGAGGCTGATCGGAAAAACATTGAACGGAACTTCCAGGCACTCCCCATCGCTCAGTATGCTGGCCGCTGGCTGTTTCTCAACACGACCTACTGGGACTTTGGTAGCTCTCAAGACCGGCCGCTGGAAGAACCCGAAAGCTTAACCCAGTTATATGGGGCAGAAAGACGGCCATGCCCCTTTGTCCCAAGCCTGCAAGCTCCGCCGGGCCACCCACTGGCGTCATTTTCGCAGACTGAACGCTATCTGCTGGACTACTTTATCGAGGGTATCGGGCCCAATTGCTCGCTGAGCCAGTTTTACAATCCGTACCTGTCCCTGGTCACGCCGCTCGCTCTGTCGCATGCACCTCTTCGCCATACCCTGCTCGCTATCGCGGCGAACCAGTTCTATCGCCTCGGAAACGTTAAATTCGAGAAAGAAGCCTACATCTATAAACAGCGCGCCCTTGCCGGCCTCCAAAAGGAGATTAACGAGCGGAAACCTAGCTTTGGCGCCGTTGCAACGGTCCTGATGCTCTGCTTTCATGATGTATGCTCCCGACCGCTTTCTTTTCTCCCCTGTTTTTCTCTCTCTTTCGTTTCTCATTTCCATTTCCATTTCTTTCTTTATGAAAAGTGAATGACCCAACAACTTCCTGCGTGCAATAATCTTAATAGCGGCTTTCCCTCCTTTCGGTCTTTATTTAGATATCGGACGGATGCACGCCATCATGGAAAACGCACCTTCGCGGCGGTATGCAGCTCCTGAACCTGCTTCCACTGAAAACGGCAGAAGGCCACATGCTTAAGCAGTTCTTCGTCATGTACTTCGTTGCGCATGACATTATGGGACGAACAGCTATGGAAGACAATTCGGAAGCAGAGGCCTTCGAAAACACATGGCTGGCAGATGATGATTTAGAAGAGGTACGAGGCCCAGGTTACTTTCTTTCCTTTTTTCCCCCTTCCTTATTGCAAACCCTCGCTTACCACTCGGAAAGATTGATATGCTTATGGGCTGCTCTCGCGGGCTGATGAGCCTAATCAGCAAGATCTCGAACCTTGCTACCGAGAAGTCTAAGGTGAGCGTTCACTTTTGATCGATCAGAAAAAACAAAGGTTATGAAAACGACGAAGGATTCTTTTTTCGAGTCCGTCTGTTTCAACCTCCTAACAGCTATCCGTGCACATATAAAAAGATGTCAAAGAGGCGACCTCTCTCGATCTCAGAACACTCGTATTTCAACAATGCTCGTAACAAATTAGAGCTAGAACTCCAAAATGTTCAACAGACTCTCCCATCGTACGCGAAGGACCGAGATGACTTGCTGCGCGTCGCAGAAGTCAAGAGATTGACTGCCCTTCTCTACCTGCGACAGCGCCTTGGGCCTCCACGCAATTCATCAATCCTTAGCCCTGTAAGTGTGGGTCTATATGCTCGATACCCCATAACTTTTAATACGAATACTACTCAGTCAACCCCTAGCCCTGGGCCGCTCGTCATGGTCGAGCCTTCTACCCTTGTCTGGAAAGAGAAATTGGTCGCAGACATCATTGCGATAATATCGACGCTACCTGACACAGCGACTCTCCTCTGGCCGCTATTTGTTGCAGGCAGTGTCGACATCGACAACGAGGAGCATCGCCGATTTATACTTGAGAGGTTGCAGAACATTCAAAATTCCCGCAATCTGGGCAATATTCGGCGAGCACGACTAGCTGTCGAATCTGCATATCGAGCCAGGGATCTTGATCACCCTCGAGGAAACGACTGGGGACGTGAAGGGCGTGGAATCAGCCTGGCATGAAAACCGTCTCAAAGCGAAAGAAAGATGATAGAAATTGTTTTCAACTATAAATATACATTGGATGGGGGCTTAGGGGGGTATTTTCTGGATGTTAAATAGACGGTGTCCATATTGTGGCAATGTGTGTACGTTTTACTCCCCCTGTTAATATTTACTCGCTTAATTATGCAATTGCTGCTTTTTTTTCTTGGTTGAAATAATTTCGTTTTGCGTTTACCCGATTGTCCATTTCTTTCCGCAGCCATTGTACCTTTTTGGATTGGACATGGGCAGAAGAGGGACAAATTATGAACCAGTCTGAGTCTGCATCATGCCTGCCGATGTGTAGGTTCGCGCATCCCCATCCCACCACCCCTGTGTGCGTTGGCGGCCCGCAAGCGCCGTTTCCGTGTGCTACGGCTCTACCACTAACAAGGATACCCAGGCTTCGACCAGCTTCGACTGACACCTCTAGCTTAATTGGTGGTGCATATCATGTCGCTGCAGCCGGCGGCCTACGATCAACACGGAAAATGGAGAGGTGAGCACATGCATATGTGCTAAATGAGTAGCAAGGGCCTCCAATATACGGGGCTCTCCCTTGCGGGCTGTTGATGCCGTCAAGCCACGGCCATGTACGAAAAAAAATGGGCTTGCTGTGCTATCCCGCTCAGGTCAAGGGAAGAATTATGTGTGGGAACACTGATTCTTTTATCTTTTTTTTCGGCATTCGATAGTACGCAGATCCGTAGTGAATAGCTATATAGCTGTTCACTATGTCCCTTTGCCCAAGTCCCTTCCATTGCGTCGAGGACTGCTCGCGTGAACTCAATCTGTTTTGAGGGTTTAAATTGAATAGTTTCTGTTCTTCGTTTATCAACTCTTTCAACTCTGTACAGACTCGGACGGCAAGAGCCTCGAAAGTTCTCCTAAGATGGAACATGAGCAGAAATATCATGGCAATGATGATAGAAACGAGGAGAACTTGGTCCAGTCTAATGCAATAACGCCAGATTCGGCTCCTAAGCTGGAAGATGACACGGTGGATCGAGCAGCCGTTTATCTCACACAAGCTATTGAATACCCTCCCCTGACCCCCGAGGCCGAGAGAGCTCTGGTTCGAAAAATTGACTGGATTATTCTTCCTATGGCTAGTCTTCCCAATTGACTCATCTGTCATAACCCCCTAAATAATTGCTGACAAAATATATAGCTCCTTCTCACGGCTACACTTGGAGCAGTTGATAAAGTTGCACTGGGAACAGCAGCTCTTTACGGACTAAGAGAAGACCTGGGCTTAAAAGGCCAGACATATGCTTGGGCAGGCTCTATTCTCCCAATTGGTGTAAGTTCGATTTATATCCTATTCGCTCGACCCCTATCTATGCTGATGGACTATGTTCTACCCAAAGGCTATTGCAGGCATGTGGCCGTCGTCATACTTAGTACACAGATTTCCGTCTGCCAAATATCTTTGCGTTTGCTCCATTGGGTGGTCAGCTGTTACCCTCCTTTTACCAGCATGCACTGGAGGGCAAAGCCTACTTGCACTAAGATTTATCATGGGTTTGACTTCAATTCACTCTTAATATGTGAAAGTTAATGCCTCTGCTAATAATATATGTGTGGCAGGTTTCCTCGAAGCTATCATTGTCCCAGGGATATCACTGTTGATTGCGGGTTTCTACAAAAAGAGGGAGCAACCGCCGAGAAATGCCATTGTGTTTTCTGCTTTCAGTTCTGTCATTAATGGCTTTCTCTCATATACCGTTGGCCGTATCCCTTCCCCTGCACCCTTGAGACTGTGGCAGTATCTCTTCCTTATTGTGGGTAAGTGACACCCAGTCTCCCAAACCATTCAAGTTGACAATGATACAAACAGTGTTCCTCAGGATCTGTTTCAATGGCCTGGTCAATATTTGCCCTCATATTTCTCCCAAATTCTCCAATGGATGCTCGTTTCTTAACAGATGAGGAGAAATACCATGCCGTCAAGCGTTTGGCTGAGAATAAAACTGGAATTGTCAATAAGAGATGGAAATGGAACCAAGTGGCTGAAGCCATCCTCGATCCAAAGACGTGGATTATTTTCCTTTTCAACATCGCAATTAATATTCCCAACGGAGGTATATTCTAGGTTTTGCTCCCGCCTTAAAAGAATCTCTTCTAACGTCCATATAGGCCTGATTACTTTTGGCGGAATCCTAATAAAGAACCTGGGATTTTCACCCATCCAAGCATCCCTTTTAAATATGCCTACCGGTGTGATGTCAACGTTGTCAGCGTTTATCTTCTCTAGCCTTGCTGCTAAATGGGCGAATAAACGATGCCTCGTCACGATGCTAGCGGCTGCCGTTCCAGTTATTGGGTCAATCATTGTTTATACCCTGAAGAGAACAGATATTCCTGCTCAAATTGTTGGATTGTACTTCGTGAGTTTATATCTTGACTTTCACATGAATCTTTGACAGTATACTAACACCTCACAGCTATATACCTACTTTGGCCCATATGTTGTTGGTAAGAATGAGCTGTGCATTATATAGGGTAACCTCCAGCTAACAGGTGTCAAGGTATCTCTCTAGCCCAGGCGAATACAGCAGGGCACACGAAGAAGAATGTTCAATACTCAATCTTATACATAGGCTATGCAGTCGGTACGTTTCGTCCCTGAATCGAATGATTAACACGACTAGTTACTAACTTTCAACTACTAGGAAACTTGATTGGGCCCCAGACGTTCCGTGATAGTCAAGCCCCTGCATACACTGGTGGGTTCATCGCAATGCTCATTTGCTATTGTTCCTGCATAGTGCTCATGGCGATGTATTGGATTCTCGCAGCCTGGATGAACAAACGAGCTAGCAGAGCTCGTGTGTCGGCTGCTTGTGAAGGAATTGAGGCAGAGGGCCCATTAGATCAGTTCTTGGATAAATCGGACTTTAAGCAGGCGAACTTCAAGTATACCACATGATTTCAGAGTGTGCTGGGTATATTTCAAACGGTGTTTGGATGGTCTTGGACATAGAGAGTTAGAAATAAGGCATTGCTCTTAGGGCATTAATTATTTATTCATTTTTTGCATACAAATACAAGGGAATGTAGTTAAATGATGTAGGTAAGTGCAGAGAAAAGGGAAGAAAACCTGAGCGAAGGCAGACATTTAACCGTTTAGGCAGCAAATAAGGACGCTATACATGATCAAAAGCAGAGGGTCACGATAATAGAGGTGATAAAGAGATGTAACAAAACTAACCATGACCTCCCAAATCAGAGCGGGTATTGGGTGTGAAAAGGTATGCGACGAGAAATGCGTGGATTTGCGAAGCCGAATCACCATTCCCATGCCGTTCCATTCTGACAATAAAAGCCAAAGCAATGCGCGAGCTCCCTCCTTTTTAACGCCAAACAGATGAATACGGGAAAATATGGAAGTTTGAGGTAAAAAAAGGAAAGATAAAGGAAGGGAAAAGATAAAACAGCCTGTAACCTGAATAACATCATACTAGCGAATTTTGCTAGAAAACGGTATGAAATGGGTAAATGGAAAGAAACCCTACTTTGCAGCGGCTTTCCCAGAGAGACCAATGGCCATCTTTTCTCTCTCAAGTTTCTCTTTCTCCATCTGAAGTCGATCGGCTTTGGTGATTCGCGGTTTTCTGGCACCTCCACGTCCAGCTCCCGATTTACTAGCGGTAGCACCATCGCCGTTGGGATGATTCGTGGTAGAACTACTGCCAGCGTGTCCGCCACGGCCGCGAGAGGATGTGCCAGAGTTCCCATGGGTAGTACCACTTGTGCCACCACGCCGGCCACGGCCTCGCTTGGTAGTTCCATCGGCTCTATAAAGATATTTATTAGTATTGATGTAGTAGTGCGTAGACGAGGGAGAGGACGTACTTTTCAACGGAAACCTTGTCACCTTCCTGAACTAGAAGCCCGGAGTAAACAAAAAACCCGTCTTTGCAAGCGGCTGCTTGTTCCTCCCAGATCAGCTCGCTGTCATCAACGAAGGGGTCATCACGATCGTATTCCTCAATTTTGCGTCGGCGAGTCTTTTTGACCTCTGCGTTGGAGTTGGTGGTGGCGGTAGGCTCATCAGTTCCGGTACCGTTCGGTGTGTGGGTGCCTATGCCGGACATGTTAATATCCCCATCGCCGTCACTATCGCGATCCACGTCCAGAGAAAGATCGTCTTCAGCACCGCTTTCTCCTCGGCCTGCCCGCTCGGATTTCTCTAGAACTGCGCTGGCAGCTGCCAGACGTGCACGGCGTTCTTTCTGGGCTGCAATACGTGGATGTAGGGCATCAAAGCCGTACTGTTCCTCTGCCATCCGGGCGAAATTTATCACTAAATTTGACTTGCCCTTGAGAGGGACATGTAGAATTATGTTTGGCAAGGTTTTGGTGTCGGATGACGAGCTAGCGTCCCCGCCAAAGAGAGCGTTAGAAAGCAAGCCAGATCCTGTGGAAGGCAAAGGTCGTGGAGGCTCCTTGGTGCGAGATGAAGCGAGCTTAGGGGAGAGAGCACCGGAGGAGGTGTTTCCGGTAGACGACGCGGTAGTCTTTTTGGGGCCAGGTTTTGAGCTCGCCGGCTTTGAGTCAATGTCCATTGCGTTGGAGTCCTGTGACTTTGAGTGCGTGAGAGGCTGAGCTGATGGTTTGGAAGATTCAACGGCTCCGTTCGTAGAGTGGTGAGTAGGTGAGAGGGAGAACTTGTTATCGGACGTAGCGGTGACGGTTGGGGGAATGGCGATAGTAGGTGTAGGGTTCGCAGCCGGAGGATCGATAATGCTAGAAATAGCTGGAGAAGCACTAGCTCTGAATGGAGTAGTGGCCAGACGTGGTGGAGGAGTCACTGTGTTTGGTGGTGGACTAAAGGATGCGCTTGCCTGAGGAGCTGGCGCGGGCTTCGCTGTGGGCATGGCAGGAGTAGAAACGGCCGAACTGCTCTCGATGGCCGACCGTATGGGGTCATAGTTTTGTCCGCTCGAGCGTGGAAGAGAGGTAGGACGGGACTGCTGAGGAGGCGGAGGCGGAGGCGCGTGGTGGGTGTTGTTGGTACTGCTGTTGCTGCTGTTGTTGTAGGTATAGGGAGAACCGCCAGGGCCGCCAGCTTCGTAGGAGCCATTCCGCGACGTATAAGAGGCCGGATCATGGGATGAAGGTTGTGGAGAGTGTCGGGAGGCACTCCGCTGCATCGAATAAGCGGGTGCTGGCGATGGCTGTGCGGAAGAAGACTGTGGGGGATGTTGGCTAAACTGGTGTTGTTGCTGCTGCTGTGAGAGTTGCGGCGAATGGGCCGCTGGCGTCGAGTTCCTCGAGACCATGTCTGTGATCTTTGCCTGCCGCGGCGTCACAGAGGGAGTAGTGTCGTCGGCTGTATGCTCCAGCTTTGCCTTCTTTCGTGATGCTGTTGGCGCATCGGTGCTATCCTGGGGCTTGACATTGCTGTTCCGCTGTCTCCTCGGCTTCGGCTCGCCGTCCTTGCCTGCAGCTGATGCCCCGGATGCCGCCCCTGCAGCCGCCTTGTCCCCGGTCGAGTTTCTCTCCCGCTTCGGCTTCGCCTTCTCGTCGTCGTCTTTGCGCTTGCGGACACGCTTCTGCTTCGGCCCTGTGGCTGCGGATGGCTGCTCTTGCTGACTAAGGATGTGGCTGGGGTCTGTATTTGTGGCTGGTGCTCTGCTGTTGCGGCGGCTTTCTTTGCCACTTTTCTTGCCAGCGTCTTCAGAGACGGCGGGCTTCCTCTCGTCCATCGCGATGCTGTTGCCGGAGGTGATGGTGACGCTGCCGCAGCTGCTGGTCAAATTCGCTCCGGAGCGAGCGGCGGGAGCTTGGGATTCGGGGTTGGATTGGGATTTCGATTTGGCCTGGGATTGGAAAGTTGACGGGATCGCGATACTCTCGCATTCAGAGAGTGAAGTCAGCGATGGCGAGGAGGTCGGGTCCATTATCCGGACATCCTGACCTTCTGCAAAGCGAGCTCTCGACTAGGAAAAGAAAAGAACGATGCTATTTAAATCTTAACCTGGTATGACTCCTTTTATTTCCTTTTGACTGCTTCTTGACAGCTTGGACGCGGGCGAGAAAGGTCGCGGTGCGCTGTTGTTGCGGAAGCGAGGATGTTAGGAAGGGGTAAAAAAAGGAACACCTTTTTCAAGGAAAAAGTGTGCGTTGTTCGTTGAAAGAGAAATAGCGAGCTGGGTGAGAGGATGGATTAGTTGGGTGGTTGGCCGTGGTGTTGATGCGGATCGCAGAAATAGCCAAAAAATAGGTGACAAGGGAAGGGGGAAAAAGAGACTGCGTTGGCGATGCAAAAAGTTGACGATTAGGAGGATAGCGAGTTGAGATGGGGGATGGTGAAACAAGCACGTTGGCTTCTGAAGAAAATCCGAGCTTCAAGTTTGGCGTGGTGTGGCGTGGATCAATAGCTGGGGATAGCTAGAAGAGTTAAGGGGAGTGAGTATAATACCTCCTTGCCGGGGAAGACGAAGAAGAAGAAGCAAAACGAAAACGGAGGATGAAAGAAGAGAAAGAGAAAGAAGAAGGGAAGAGGAAAGAAAAAGGGATCAGGAGATTAAAAGAAAGCAGAGCCAGGCGACGGGCAGGCAAGGCTTACGCGAATGATCAATGGATGGAGAAAAAGGCAAAGCAAAGAAATGGGCGTGAATGGGGGGGAAGGGGGACGGGCAAATCGCTAATTACACATCCTCTTTCTTCCCTCAGTCCATCCAGTCCAGTTTCAATATTCGAGCAGTTTATCGTATCCAGCGTATACATCGTACGGAGCAGCGCCCGAGAAGCGGGCTTACTTACGGAGCCACGGCTGCAGCGAACGGTATCAGCAGGGGCAGCAGGTGACTGACCGGCTTGACTTGACCAGCTTTTCTCCAGATAGTTAGGCGGAACCAGAGCAGCAGAGTTACATAACTCAGTGTCCCGGCGCTGGGACATGGGGAGCTTGGCGGCCACAAGAGCAGGTAGTTCGAGCAAGGGAGGATCGAGAAGCCGAAGACCTTGATAATAATAAATGCTGTGGAGGCGGCGCGAGGAACTAGTGGCTAGCGCATAACAGGCGCAATCCCTGATGACTAAGGAGACGCCCGTCACCCTTAATATCTAGACAGCCATCAACCGTTTTACAGACATCGGCCACAGTAGATGCAGCCTCGTGATGATAGACGGGGGAGCCGCTATCTTTGTTGCCCATCCACAGCAGCCGGTGAGAATTTCGTCGTGGACTAGCACAGATGCTGTCTATCGACTGTCACTGGCGTAACTCACTAGTTGTGGTGGTTTGTACGGAGTAGTTACCGACCGGCCAGGGGATCGCATCCAGTAGAGACAAAGTCTCTAGGTGACGCATCATATTCGACAACTATATATGCAACAGTTAGTTTCAGATTTTAATGCCAACTGCTTCATTCACTCGCCAGAGCCGTTTCTTCACTCCTTGTCCCTCTCTCCCTACCTCGATCAAACGCTCTCTTTGCTCACTCCACTGGCTTCGCCCAGACCAGGTGACGGAGAAGTTCCCCCGGCAAACCAGCTAGACGCCCGACTCACCTCGCTTCCCCCACCACAAACTGTCTCCCTCCCCAGCCTCTAGCCCTCGCTGGCCTCTGCTTATCTCTCGCCATCGATGTCCAATCTTCGGTGTCGTTGGATGTTTGTCGTCAGAAGAAGAAGAGTTCCCCCAAGTCCAGATCCGGTTTAGCGTCCGGCCCTCGTGCATATCCTTGTACTAGTCTTCTTTGGGACTAGCGCCTGCAGGTCCGTCCGTTAAGCGCTAGTCCGGATTAGGACTTAGAGTTTTAAGCCGCAGGTCCCGTGCTTGGCCCAGACTGGCGGGACAGAAAGCAGAGAAAAAAAAAAACACCTTCAAAAACTTCACCTTTCACAACAGACGTCGGCCAGCTTCGATACGTCACCACGCTACCACGTTCACTGGTATAACGGCAGACAACGCAAAAAAAGTTAAATTTATCTTGATTGTGCTCGGTTGTGCTCGGTATATTGAATATGGCGTTCCGGGGTGAGAGGTTTCATATTGACCTCTCAGACGATGAGGACACATCAGCTACGGCAACGGCTCCAACAGCTTCTATCCCGTCTCTCAGCAGCTTCGTTAGCGATATACAAGAACGGACGCCCTCTGCGCCTACTCCCCCTTCTGCTCCGACGCCCAAGTCAAATCATAATACCTCGACCGGATTCCCCGCACACCGCAAACGCAACAAAGTATCTGCCTTCAAAAGGCAGCGTGAAAGTGCGAGCGCAGGCACTGAAAATGAACATCCCGTAGTAAAAGTCAATACGGAAGCGGATGAGAGGCGGGCTATCGCTGAAGAAAACAAGCGGAGGATAGAGGCCATGTCAGAGGCTGAAATTAATGCCGAACGAGCCCAACTTACGGCCTCTTTGCCCGCATCACTGATCGAAAGGCTGCTGAGAAGGGCCAATATTGAAGAAGATCTCCAGGAAACACAGGGCGAGAAACGAGATGTTGCGAGACAGCTCCAATTGAGTTCTTCTGGTGTGCCTGATGAAAAACCGCAGAAGACGGTTTCTTTCGATATACCGACTAAGCAACCTACAGCGGAAGAGGTTAAAGATGACGAACGGGAACAGCCATTTATTCATCCAGATGACCTTCCACCCTCAAATCCACCATCTAGCCTACATCCAGCTTCTCAACCGCCGCCGCCAATCCATTTTCCTCGTCCGCCGCCTCGCTTCGAACCGATGCCAAACCTCGACCCATCGTCACCTTCGTTCCTTTCCGATCTCCAAACACACTACTTCCCTGACACTCCTCACTCTGCATCTAGCCTATCGTGGCTACGGTCCTCTGACTCTGATTCTGACCAGTCATCCGCCTACCACCCTTCTAGCACTGCAACCTCCATCGCCCCAGCAGCACTCCGTTTCTCGCTCAAAGGAGCCATCCTCGCGCCACGCACTTCTCTCTCCATCCCGCCGTCTAAGGGTCTTCATCACCATGCCGCTGACCCAGAGGCGGCAGGATATACTGTTCCAGAACTCGCCATACTCTCACGTTCCACAGTGCCTGCTCAGCGGTGTCTAGCCTGGCAGGTACTAGGCCGTGTGCTTTACCGTCTCGGTAAAGGAGAATTCGGTGAACAAGACAGCCCGCTAGTTAATGGGCTATGGAGCGTCGTAGAACGAGAGGGTGTTGTGGCTGGTATGCTGTCTGAGGCTGGAGGGGATGCCGATATTGATGACGATGGAAAGGAGGCTTCATCCAACGACAGTCCTACTCCGGTTCAGACAAAACCTGGAGGCATTGGGCGACATGCCAGCGCTAGAGCATGGGCTACAGAGGCAGTCTGGCTTTGGCGGCGAGGAGGAGATGGAAAGAGGGGCCTTAGGAGAGAGTCAGGAGCTGTTTAAAGCATCTTTTGATTAATATCTTCAGGTAGTTTCTGACACATTTTTACTACGATCTCTTTTACGACTAATGACCTGATGTCTTTCGATAAACATTAAAATTAGCGTAGCCTTGTGATACTGAGCAGTTATCATACCATTATCAATCAAACCCTCTTTCCACCATTCTTATGAATATACTCAATGGTATTAATCATTTAACAGAATAGAAAACAGCATTAAATTAAAAGCTATTAGATATTATAAAGACAAAACTAGTTTACCAAGATATAGTGACGCTTTTTCTCAGTAAATCTTACCGATCTGCTCCCGTTTCCTAGGATATTTCTCCATTCGTCCAGTAATAACAGCCCGGCAATATGTTCCAGCCCGGCCAAGGTGATACATAATGACACTGATCAACCTATTCGGTCGCCCAGATGACTTCCTCACACGGATCAGATAATATAGTGCAGCAGTTGCAAAGACATTGAAGACAATATATGCCCATCCAATTCCGAAGTTTCTCCATCGGTCACTCCAATATATTTCAGAGCCTGCTAAGAATTGATCGCCGTTAGATAGAGGGCAGTATTGGCATTGGCTGGTACTCGTCGGATTGTAAAGCCTGCCTGGAGCACCTGCTTCCACAAATTTCTGCAGATACTGAGCACAAGTAGCTCCACTTGGAGGATCAAATATTGCCAACTCATTCTGCGCACATTTCACCTCTCGACCGTGTAGCGAAGTTGCTGCAAGGCCGCCCACCGTATACGTGATAGGGGATACTCGCCACATGAATCTCCAAAATCCAGGAAGAGCATTAGGTTTCTGGAGAACGCCATTGAAGGTGACCATGAGACCGAACATGGTTGTGGCGATTCCTCCAGCCGTTTCGGCGTCTGGTAAACCGGCAATTATCATTTGTGCAAATGTGGAGGCGAATATGAAGAATTGAACACAATAAAGTAGAAAAATTCCCTGTTGCTCAGACGATAGGTGATTACCAAATGTGGGATAGAAGAGCGAAGCCCATGCAATTATTCCGAGGAGGATCTGATAGGGTATTTCGACGATTATGTTTGCAAACAGGAATACCTTCCAGCTATATGCACGAGATGGACGCTCCCGAACTTCAAATAGATCTCGCTGTGTGACGAACCGTGGCATAATCTATAGTCTCATTAGCTTTGACTCCTTTTTAGGATAAAAAACACCCTATCCTACCTGTTGGACAAGAGAACTAAAAATTGTTGTTAACATGAAAATTGAGAACAGGCTGTTTTGAAGACCTGCCATGGAGGTATTCTGTAGGAAAAAGGAGAAACCACTGTACGAAGGTTGATATTAGCCGTATTGCATTATACAAACGCCGGATATGTAGATGACTTACATGAACAAGGCCGATGCCAGACCCAAGAGCAATTTGCCCCAGATATACGAAGGCGTCCTCCAGTACTGCTGAAAGACACGAGCAGTAACACAATATAGCTGAGAAGTAAAGGGCATGGCGAATTCGCCAGGCTCCTTTTCGGCTGGCTGACCATGACCCTCGTTTCTCTTGCTTGTTTCTGCTTGGATTCGGTCAAGTTCTTGTTGAACATGATGGCTCTCCTCGCTTTCTTTCCATACCGCTGGCCAGTCAATCTTCGACTTTCCGCTTGGCCCGGCGCCGACAATATTAAGCATATACTCTGCTGGGTTTTCACTCGGGCCACATGGTTCTGCTCCGTGGATTTCAAAGTAATTCAGCAAGGTCTCCGAGTTCTTGCCAATATCTCCAAAGTAGACAGTTCTGCCGCCCTTGGCTAGAAAGAGCAAACGGTCAAACTGTTCAAATAGGATACCAGAGGGTTGATGGATAGTTGAGAGGACTGCCTGTCCGTTATCCGCAAGCTTTCGAAGGAATGTGACGATAGACCAGGAACTCTGCGAATCAAGTCCGGATGTAGGCTCATCAAGGAATAGCAGAAGCTGGGGCTTTGCTGCAAGCTCAACGCCAATAGTAAGAAGTTTCCGTTGTTCAACGTTAAGTCCTTCTCCGGGATTTCCAACGACAGCGTCGCTGAAATCTTCCATGCTGAGCATCTTTATTACATCCTCCACATACTCATATTTCTCCTTCTTTGAGACCGACTTAGGCTGGCGGAGATCTGCAGAAAACCGGAGTGCCTCTCGGACGGTTGAGGTCTCTAAATGAAGATCTTGTTGCTGGACATAGCCAGTTTTCCGTTGGAAGGATGAGTCTAATGGTCTGCCGTTTACAAGCATATCTCCTGTAATGACACCAGTGGTAGTTCGTTGTGCAAGGGCATCGAGCAAGGTGGTTTTGCCGGCACCAGAAACTCCCATCAGAGCAGTAAGTGTGCCTGGACGGACCCAGCCCGAGATATTGTCCAAAAGTCGGCGAGGCTCTCCTTTAATGGTGATATCATAAGTGACATTTCTCCAAGTGAAGATATCTTTCTGCGGCGGAATAACTGCAACAGTAGAGCCACCAGGGGCACTCTCTCCGGCTGCACCATTGGTGTTATTGGAAGGTAGGCGAGCTGGGTCATTGGGGTGGATGATACCGCCAGCAGCAGCCTCCTCATCCTTCGATCCCTGGAAATTCTTTGGAAGATGCCCACGACGGAACACCAGGAATTCGGCAGAAGAAGAGCTAGATAGGTTGAGTTCGGAAACCACCAAGTAAACGAAATAGAAAAACACTAGGAAGCCTAGAAGGATCCCTAGATTTCGCCAAATATGTGAGTAGCTGTAGCTATAGCTGGATTCTACCCACGCATCGCCAGAAACTAACATATCTCCAGGGACAGCCCCGGCAACAGGACATGCAAAGTTTTCCCCACTACCGTATGGAGGGACAGGCGTAGCACATGTATAGCTGTTGCCATGGACTTCATTTGTGAGTAATGCTTCGTAGGCGTACGCTATAGGGTTGATATAGCGGATCCATTTGAACCATGGGTGCCTAAATGTTTGTTAGAATGCGAGGCTTCTACCGGTATGGAGAATCTAGGGAGGGTTATTTGACTCACATGTAGGAAGGCTGTATGGTAAATCCAGTATATATCACAAGAGCAAGTATCATGACTCCAGCCAAGGCAAGAGCTTGTGGTATAGTTTTGGTCGCGGCAGCCAACGTGCGAAATATAGCCGACATGGCAAGGATGGTAATGAAAGTGAACAGGAAGAAGATGAAAAACTTTGATGCGGATCTTTCGAGTCCTCCCAAAAAATATATAATGACGTTAAATACCGAAGCCAGGAAAAACTTGATGGGTATATCTGCCACAATGCCTGCCAATGCCTCTGAATATGCATGGTAGAATGCAAAATTCACATGCTTGACAACAATGGGGCGTTGAGCATCTATAAATTATTAGTAAATAACCCTGGAAGATCGAATCGACGTGCTTACATAGTCTGTTTAAAACACATGTTAGATTCTACATAATGTAAGTTATATAGAGAGCTGAAGTGGTTGAACATACCCATTAATTTCAGTGATTGACATTAGACCGCTGAGAAGGATGGCGAAGAAAATGACGGAACCTTTTGCAAAGAAACCATCGGTTGTCTGGGGGGTATTAAAGAAAAGAGAACCAATAATCAAAGCCATCATGATTTGACTGATGTTGGTGGCGATTGTAGACGACTTATCTCCCCAAAGGCGTTGGTATGCACGGACTGTACATAATTTCACTTGCATAGGCACACTGATTCGATACGGGGATTTAGACTTCGTATGCTTTGCCTGTGCCTGACCGTGTGCCTCACGGAGGTCTTTGAGATGGCCTTCTTCAGAAGGGTATTCAGCCTCGAAGTGGTCCATGTTAGCGAGAAGTAGTTTGTTATTCTGTGATTGTTTCCAGTATCGTTCAAATTCGATAGCTGTCCGTGGGACTCTGTTTTCATATCCCTCCTTGGCTATTCTCTCCTTAGGGTTTGTCACAGAGGTCAGAAAATCTGCCGTTGTCTGTCGAGGCGGACAGTACCATCCCATTTCTTCAAAGTATTGCTTTGCAATTCTGGTAGGGCCGAAGTAGATCTGGCGCCCTTCGTAGAGTACAATCACTTTGTCGAAGATATCATAGATGGCTTGACTGGCTTGATAGATTGCCAGGCACTGAGTAATACCACCAACCTGGGAGCCAATTTTCAAAGCCTTTGTAAATTCAAGGGCAGTAGCTGAGTCAAGACCTCTTGTGGAGTTATCCCAACAGCAAATTGGAGCACCGGCAAGCGCTATTTCAGCAATACTGACTCGCTTTCTCTCTCCACCGCTCACGCCACGGACATAGTCATCGCCGACTTTTGTGTTATACGTATGGCTCAAGCCAAAAACCGACATCATCACCCGCGCCAGGTGGGTTGAGAAGTCCTTACGGCTAACGCCGAGTACCCTTTTAGAGGGAGTACGAGCTGCTGCAGCAAACTCGAGAGTCTGACCAACTGTTAGATGCGGGAAATGGTGCTCATCTTCTGCACTGTATACAGCTTCGCCGCGGAGTTCTTTTTTGAAAGTTTGTTGAGACACTCCATTGTAGTGAATTACGGATTCCTTGTTCTTTTGAAGGCCATGTAGTTCACCACAAATTGCTTTCAGGAAGGTAGAGCATCCACTGCCGGGTCGACCTAGGACCATGAGAAGCTCCCCCTCTCGTATTGCTCCATTGAAGTCGTGTAGTATAACCTTCTCTGGATTCCTGTCCTTGCCGCAGTGCTCGCCAGGGCGAAAGAGGGCAGCGAATGGCGAAAGGAATGTGTCTTGATATTGCACGGCAGATCCAGAGCCCAGAACGGTAAGGTTGCGAAACATGACTCCAGTTCTGTTATGCTTAATTCCTTCCTCCTCCATAATATGAAAGAACATACGGGCCCATTTGTAGAAATTGAATTCGGGTTTCGTAGGATCAAGGACAGGGTCACCAATCTTGATTCCAGCAAGAGTATCACGTCGGCTCAGTTGGCCTCCGTCCAGTGTGGGTGATGAGGCATCAGGATGAGAGTCTACCATTGAAAAGGCAGAGGCAATTCGAACCAATTCGGGTCGCGACTGAGGCGACCACGTCCTGACGGCTTCGTACATGGCTTCGGATCCATCGTCATCATTTTCGGATTCGTATATATTATTTGCGGCATCGTTTGTCGGAGTAGTATTGTTCACATGGGCGGCTGAGGGGCGATATGTTGTCTCTGTGACAGCTTCACTTTCGTATTCTTCATGGGCACCAGCTGGCTGACCAGAAAGAGGGTGAGGAGGCTGGGAAGCCATTTTGGTGGAATTAAACGAGTGGAAGCGTTAGATATGAAGGGTGGCCAGATCCAATGGTGTGTTGCGCTGCTATCTATATAAGTATCCCAGCTTGGTACTCAGAGAGGCGACATCGGCGAATACTCCATACAACGCCCGGTAAATTGATCAAGTTCCTGAGCATCGGATCAGACGAATGTTCCCGAGGCTTCCCATGAGAGCGCATACTCTGTACATATAATTATATGCGTGTGGGTGTGAGGGAGGCATGGTATCTGAAAAGGTTAAGCACCGGGATGTATAACTTGCTCTAGATCCCACTATGATAGAATCAAGGTTACCGGGCTATTGCTGGCCCGGCCTTGGTCTACAGGCTTGGGAAAGCCTGGATGAACCAACCAGAAGCCCGTCCACTCCATGTCCGTCTCGGTAGTAGTGAAGTGTTTTGCGCCGGTGGTTGGTACCTTTGGGCGAGGCAACTCCATCGACTGAGTTACGGGGGTTCACATTGCGCCGACTCCACCAAGTAGGATGACGTTTAAGCTGCAGAGGCATAACTCAAATCCGTGAAGATCCTGATGGCCTCTCGGGATACGCAATGCCCGATCTCCCTACGTATAACTACTTGGCGGGCGGACTGTCCTGGTCTGTTTGTCCGAGGTTTCGATCGAGCGTGCTCCATAGTCGCAAGTGAGCTATCCACGCAGGCAACTAGCCTCATGTGAAGACGCCGGAGCCCCGGAACACGGATAAGATGGGAATTAGACTGTTCATCCAGGGGCAAAGTGCAGGGACTGCCGGGCCGAGTCGTCGCGGTGCAGAAGGGATAGCACGGCATAACGGACCAGGCACGGTTCCTGTCAACGCAGTTAGCAAGTCTCGAAACATCCCAAGACAGTCATAGTGACGGTGAAGCAACTACTTACCATTGGCTTCTATCTTCTGGCTGTCATGACCGTCACATTCATGTGAGATACTTGGCTGGTTAACTAGCTTTTGCGCAACGATGATGGTCTTTTGGTGCAGCCTAACTAGTTAGCGAAGTTGTGGCTTCAACTCTGATACAGCCACGATAGCAAAACTACCAAGTGACCAAGCAAACTGGGGCCAAATTGATGTGTGGCGATAATATAGCTGAAATCTCAAAAGGATCAGCCAATCTAAGTGTGCAGCTCTCATATAAACATCAGGATTTCATAAAGGTCAATTTGGTTTATCCTTTGGGCTTTCGCCAATAAGTACTCCGTAGTTCATAACTAACCGGGCGCTTAACCAATTAATACGAAACCAACCACCCCCTTAGCTAACTAAATGGGCCTGTCATTAGTGATTCACTTGTGAGATAGTTAAGAGTCCACTTCACTTTCTCATAATTAGCGGGCCAGATACCATTCTTGCCCCATGTGAGGATGTCGTTTGGATTCAGAGCATTTTTGATCTTCTTGTTGAGCTTCATCTGCACATATTATTGTCGTTCAAGCCGCTGGTACGGTACTCCGTATCGGCAATCTGGTCCATGAGTGCTGGATGAGCTCGATACGCGCTCCAGCCCTTGCTCGCGGCATCTTCATCAACGAGGGTCTTGGTGAGCGAGTGAGCACGGCGTCTCGACTCGGGACCCTTGCGATTGAACAGGATGCAGGCCATATGGTGTATCTGCCAGGCTGAAACCATGAATGCACAGATGAAGTCGAGGCCGAACTTCTCGCATCGATGGCGAATGAGGCTGTAGTCACTGCGCTCCCTCACCTTGGCGATGAGCGCAAAGAATAAGTGGCTGCCGTTGGGGAGCCAGTTGACCCAGGTAAGCTCTGTGATCGAGGGTATTCCCTGCAAGGTGTTCCTCCATATTTGCAGGGCGACGTCGTCTGGCCTTTCCTTTGGGAAATAGAACTTGGATCCCGCTATCTTGCTGGAGGAGGACTTGATGATCTTCTGGAGGGTCTTGCGATCCTCAGAGGGTTCATAGAGAGCGCCGTAGAAATTCCAGCAGCCGAGATTCGCCTTGGCTGCGATCTTGTCCAGTTTGGCGTTTGTGAGTGGTTTGTCAGAGCCTGCTTATGCGGTTCTAGGGGATCTATCTTGGTGTTAGAAATATGTAAAGCAGAAGGGAGTGGGTGAATAGCTATACCCTCAAAGCCGCGTCGAAAAGAATGTTATCCATCTTCGGGACACTCTTGAAGTACAGATGCAGTGCACCAAGGTCGCATAATCTCGACCAAATAGTTTCGGAGATCAAAGAAGGAATGTCAGGCTCAATCAGAGCATATAGACTGTCGACATTGGTCCCCAACGCGTTGTTCATGTTTTTACCCTGGTGTAAGTGTCATTTCAAAAGTCCTCTAGCTTCGTGATAATGTCCGTGTTGGTCCCGCCCATGAACTTTGCAGCCTCTGTAATGAACTCCCTGAATGTTCCTGAACTAGTATTCGGTAGAACAATGGGGTCTTCGGTGGTTTGGCTTGACTTGTCACCGTTTGGGCAATCCGGCTCTTTGATTATGGACACAGATGGCGAACCATTACCAATCGACCCTGCTTTACCGCTGTACTTCTCCATAGCTAACTGTATATCCTTTCCTTTTCCTTCGTTGTCCTGGAATCTGTTATTTGATTTGGGTGAGGAGTGAAATAAGGCATTGCACTAGACTATATATAGACCATTCTCAGCAGTATACACGGAGATACTCATTTACGATCATCTCTATAAAATCCCGCAAGCCGCGTATCCCAGGCATACGGTGAGACACTGCAACGCAGCAGTAGAAGCCATTGTAGGTGTCTCGAGGGAAAACATCCCAGCTTCTAGTCTCTGATACAGCAATTATTGCCTTGATGCGCGTAAGACTGAGCTTCTCGGCTAAGAGCTCTCTCACGCGTGCTCGAAAGCTGCTAACTTGTTCATAGTTGACAGCATCAACTATTAAGGATTCGGTATGAGCTCAAGGTAAATCTCATGATATGGACGAAGCGTCATTGGCCATGATTCAAAGTTTGTTCGTAATGGCCATGCTCTCCCATTGTTCATTTGAATCAGGTCCTAGAGGTCCGGGTGCAGTTTAGTGGCGGACCTTGAGAGTGGTCTCCAGGCTCTGAATTAGTTATTGATATTTTGCTGGCTTAGTCAACCACAGCCAGTCTTCAGTATCGGGTTCAAGGCTTATTTGCCATGAGAGCAAGGAAGGCACCGAAAAGGCAGGGGTGTATGATGAAAATCATAGCGTAAGAAATAAATAACCTTGCGGGGGGTTTTTTTTTTAGGGACTATTACTATCAACAAGCACTCGGCCATGAGTCGGACTGCTCCATTTATAGAATTACAAATTCTCCTTTGAGACATCAGCTTTCTCAATTGGTTGTTGATGGTCTAGATCACAGTTTCCCACGTTTGTCCCTAGATAAGGAGTAGGAAAGCATGCATCTCGGGATAAAAACATATAATACCACTTGTTATCATGCTTTTAGTATCTAGTATCCTTTGCTCCTTTGCCCTGCAGTCCGTACCGCCATTTTTATTATATCAAATGCTGGGCTCCGTATGCTGGTGAGTTGAACCTCAAGCTCCACCGGGCGGAACAGGACCCACATCCCGCTGTTAGTTAAAGTGGGCTAAGCTTTTGCGGCTCTCACTAACTTGTTATTCCCACCACTTGTGTTACTTGCTACCTTATATTATGTATTGAGATGAGAAAAGATTCCTGTCGTTTAAAGTCGCTGAAATGGAGCGGGTACTGGAGCTCCTGGCCGAGCTTGACCTACCAATGGGACTATCTTCAGCGTAACTTTGGCGTAACCGCTAGAAATTAAGACAACAGGCAACACGGCAAATATTCCGCTCAACTTCAACAAGCGAGGTGAAAGAGCGCACAAGAAGATGTTGGCATATCAAAACTGATCAGATCGTCAGAAAAGGCATTTTTTGAATGTGCTTACGATGGCCTATCGGGAAACCATGTCTTGATTTTCCAAGTCTTAGGCGCTTTCTTAGACATAGACCACTACCTCCCTAATGAGCAATCCAACAGGTATACTCCAGTCAACCAGAGAAAGTTCTGTATTTTCTCTAAGAAACATTCTTCCCAAGAAACTATCGGAATCCATGGTGACATGAAGATTGAGAATAGTTTCAAAAAGATCGTAAACTATATGAAAGTATGTGTACTATCTTTATCAATGTAAACTTTAAACAGGTATCTAACGTCCTGCAAGTCTTTAGGTCAGCTCACCAAGCAAGGTCATTTCCATACCTAAAACAGCTTGCCCCAGAGCGGCTTATAATCACGGCAAGAAACTACCAGACTTAAACAAAGAGTCTAGCTGAATTCTTTGATATGAGAAAGAAATGTAGTTTCGCATGCAGTCGAGCAATTAACAATTTATAGCACTTTGGTTTATTAGTTAGCAAGCTCTTCCAATGATCTATAAATGAGTCTAAGCTTCTATAAAGAAAGTAGAGCCATGATACTAGAGCAGAGTTCTAGAGAAATAAAACAAAAATCTCGGCCTTATTTATCTACCTTGCCCTCGATGCTCATTTGACATCAGGCCTTTCACTCAGCCGTTCTCTAGTCCATTTCGGAGTCCCAGCCCTCCCGGGTATCTTTGGGTATCCGTACAAAAACTGCACCGAGTATCAAAGCGGCGACAGCGAATCCCGTGGCCAAGTATGCAGCACTATGATAGCCTTTGAGAAGATTTTCCCCGTCGTCAAATGTATTAACCTCAACTGTCCCAGCAAAGCCTAGGCCTGTGCTCATACCGTAGCTGAGCAAGGTGCCAATCAAAGACCCCGCAATACCCTGGTTCTTCATCGATACGGTATTGCTCGTGATTATTTGAGCCGCCGTGACAATCAAATCGATTGTGAATGACGACAGGATTATTGCTGGAAATGCCATTGCCCAGTAAGTTAAGTCTGCCGGGATAGTAGCTAACAATGCATTGATTGCAACCATTGCCAAACAACCCATGGCAATAATAACTTGAGCGGGTGCTCGAGGAACGAGCCAAGCCGCGAAGAAGGCGTTGGCACCGCCAAGTATGGTTAGCGGCAGGTATTGAATGCCGATTTGGATCAGAGTATCTCCACGGATTATATTCATGTAGACGTTCATGTACCAAAGGAATATACCCAAGCTCATGAACGAGAGGAATATGGCAATCATAAGAATGCCGAATGAGGGTGCTTTCCAGATATTGAACGGAATAATTGGTTGTTTGGAGACCTTCATTCCCCAATATACGAAGCCGGCGAAGTGGATGATGGATAGGCTAAGAAGAGTAATTTCGTAAGGGCTCTCCCATCCAACCAATGGCGCTTGACTGCCAATAATTCAGTATGTGAAACTCGATAGTTAGGCTGGAAATGGGGAACTTACTTCCATACAAAGTTGAATAGCGTAAGGGCACCAATCCCAAGATAAGCACCAACCCAGTCGACTTCACCGTCGGGATCAACAGGTTTATCCGCTGGAATTGCAACCATGGCGACGCCGTAAACAATAAATCCTAGCAAACCTCTTAAAAGTGATCTTAATAAGGAAAGTATTTATCTTTAGGGAATGCTCACCACTTACAGCATGAAGAAGAGCCATTTCCAATCTGTCAGCTGGACGATAACTCCTGAGATAAGATTACCACCAGCAGCACCAACAGGCGCCATTGCTCCAAAGAAAGCAAAGCCTAGATTTCGTTTCCGGCCTGGCGGAAAAGTAATTCCCAATAACGCCACTATGTTTGGAGTCATCAAGCCGCCGCCTATACCACATAGGCCTCTCATGACACACATAGCAATCAGGTTAGGAGAAAACCCTCCACATAAAGCCCACAGCACCCACCACATGCAGCCAACCATGAGAATGTTTTTGTGACCATACACAGCTCCCAATCGACCACCTAGATTTAAAGAAAAAAAAAGTTATAATCCTCATCTTATGTTAAGACGACATCTAGATAGTGGGGATCTTACCAATGAGAACAAAAGTGCCTTGAGTAAGAGGATAAGAAGCGGCAATCCAAACGGATTCTATAGGAGAGGCCCTTAACGACTCCCCAATTGCAAGACCAGAGTTGATGCCGGCACCCAGAGGAATCATTTGAACCATCTGTGTTAGGGTTATAAAAATCAGGAATAAATTTTCTCTCAGAATGCTTGGTGTGGTGTGTTGTAGAAGTGCTTCGGGCGGCATCTCGGCTTTCTGTGAATTTGGTGTAGCCTCTTTGGTATTAGAATTGTCCTGAGAGTCATCATACCGGGGAGAAGGGGCCAGGATATCGTTGTTCAGGGCCATAGTTATGTAGATTTAGATGTCTGAATCTTCAAGGAAGCTGTCAATATGGATATTATTTTAAATGAATATATGAATAATAAAAGGAACAACTAGATCATATATACAAGTTTGGCTTGTATAGATTTCCAATGCTGCCACACTGACAAATGATAATAAGCTTCTTGGTCAGCCAACGTATGGGCAGCAGCGAAACGGATTTGTCAGTCTTGTTAATCTGACTTTGAATACAAATTCATTTGGCTGGGGGCCCGGAGTCTTGGCTTGCATATGCATGCGCTAACCAGCATAGAGTGTAGCTGCATGTCTCTCTGCTGATTTCTGCACGAAAGAAACTGGGGTATTCAGTGACAATGATACGTGAGACGGATCTCGGCAAGCTATGACACCAGGAGTTGAGATGTCAGGTCACCTTGCCTTGCGTAAAGGCGCTTCTCTTAAGCACTTGCATGAATGCGCCTGCTATTTCATGAATGTAACACTCTTTGGGCTCGTAACACCCAGATCCTCAGGCGGTTTAATATATATAGACCGTAGTTAGCCCATGAGAGCTTACAGAGATGGTGGAATTTCATTAGATTAGTTGGGAAGTATACGGTGGCCAGGGGTAAAGTTATTCATCGATTTTGACCAATAGCAGAAATATGCCTGGGTATAACCCTAGTAACAGCGCAGTAGGCAACCACCAATGTGCAAAAGAGCAAAGGCTGGCCAATAGAAGGGGCGTATGGTATCAAAACAGCCCTGTAGCCCGAAGCGAAATAACGCATTTGTCAGATTTGCTAATCATCTTTGTTAAAGCAACACTGTTGGATGGTGTCTTAAAAGAATGGGGAAATATCAATCACAAAGAGCTGACGGGAACGCCCCGGGATTCCAGCAAATGTTCTGGCCGGCATCATACGGGAAGGGAAGCGAGACAAGCATATGGGGTAACCATAGGCGAGTTAACTTGAAATTAATACCACAGTTTACCGTAAGTCAGTATATCTCGTAGTCTCTTTTGCTCATTTGCTCGCGGTTCTAAAAAAAGGAATAGTGGCCCATGCTTTAGTCACGTGATATTATGGAAATAAGTTATTCCGTTATTTTTACCGCTTCACTAATTATTAGCCAATAGAATATAACTATATGAGAACTAAGCTTTAGACATGTGGGTCTATTGAAGAAATTCTGATTAAAGTTGATATAGAAAGCCCTTATTGGCTATTTTCTTCATATTTATAAGCCAATAAGAATTAGAGGCTGCTGGAAAATTTCTTACCAAAGCCAGCCGCTCATCCACCTCACACGGTATCTTCAGGCAACGAGATAACGAGATGGTGTCTCGACAGTCTTAACTGGCTGCGACCTAGCTGTCCTTCGTATTCTCTAACTAAGCTTTCACTAACTAACTAGTTAGTTGGTATCGGGCTGTGTCGAGCGGTAGCAATCATGGTATAAATAGAAGGGTAGGGTTGCTCCCCGCGCAAAGCACCATATACAACCTTGACATACTTCCCCATCACCGATTCTTGAAGCGCCTACGACTTGATATAAATATACCCCCATTATGGTCTGTCTTTCTGAAATATGTATTATCGGCGGGGGAGTGAGTGGCCTTGCATCAGCGCTGACACTGGCTAAATATCTGTCTACCAGAGAGGAACATGCCAACATTACTGTTTATGAGCTTCGAGATCTGCCCGCTAGCCTGGGTGGCGCTGTGAACCTGACTCCTAATGCCCTACGAAACCTTTACAGGCTTGAGGTGCTGCCTCACATCTATAAGAACGAATATGGCACTGAGGTAGACCGGATTGAGCTGTTCTCTAACTATTCTGGCCCCGGCCAGCTTGCTTCGATGGACTTTGTTGACGCTCAAGGAGAACCCATGAGCGGGCTAAAAGGGCTTAGGGTGATGAGGTTGCCTCTGCTGTTGGCCATGATCAACGCTATCGATGATACAGCTCTTGCTGGTATCACTTTAAACATCGTCTATGGCAAAAAGCTTGTCAAGTTAGAACATTCTAATGCTCAGGGGGAGGGAAAGGTACAAGTTTCGTTTGAAGACGGAACTGTAGTCGAAGCAGACCTCGTTTTGGGCTGCGACGGTATTCATTCGAAGACACGAATGAGCTATGTCGACCCCGACCGAGTACCTGTCTACACTGGCATCTCTGTCGCCCAGGGGTACGTTGCTCGCAAAGAAATCGCATCAGACCTTCATTTCAAAGACACAGGCATGATCATGGCTCGAAGGGGATCATTGTTGACCTCCTTCTACGAGTCAACTCGCAAGTTCGTTTACCTAGCCGCGGTGACGGAGTCCAAAGAAGCCCTTTCACGGGACGGATGGAAGGCCAAGGGGGAGGATCAAGAAGCTGTCAAAGCCGATATCCTTGATCGGTTCGGCGACTCCATCTTTCCATGTGTAAGAGAGATGATCACGGCGTCAAATGGCTGGTACTTATTTCCGGTATATAAGCTCCCACCTGGTGGGAAATGGTGTACCGAGAGAGTCATGTTGCTAGGAGACGCAGCCCATGCCGTAAGCCCTGTCAACCATAAATGGCTCTAGATTAAACGTTCTAACGGGATATACAGATGCCGCCACAGGGAGAAAGTATTGGTATTGCCATAGAGGACGCCATTTTGTTCGCTCGAACCCTTGCAAAATACCGGTCATCCCCTCTGTCCGAGACCTTCAGGGTATACGAAGAGCTGCGCCGGCACCGCATAGATGAGCAGTACCAAGAAGCCTCGAGCCGTTGGGAGACTGTTCGCGACTGCGGGTATATCGTGACTAAGCTCAAGGAGATGTTCGTTCCATGGTGGATATGGTGGACAAGCAAAGCCCGAACGGAGACCTTCCTGTCCGATGCTGAGAGTGTTATAATCCCTTGATCACTTAATCAAGGCCCCGACTATATCATCAGCAATATCCACTTCTTTCCCGTCCTTTGTCCCGAGTTGCATATTTTGAGCTCGAAACCTAACTTTTTTTTTCTCGCTGTTTCTCGTTCGTTCCGGTTTGCTTCGTTTCGATAGTTTCCCACTCCATCCTAAAATCACCTCTTTACCCACCATATCACCAATCCCGGCCATTTGTTTCTCGGGCCGTTACTTTGCCGGATTCCGTGCAACAGAAGATGAGATAGCATATATTCCTTTGAATATACCAAACACTACAGTGTTTGCAAACACTTCTTGAAAAGAGATTTGGGAATAAGTAGTCTCTGAAGGAAGCGGTGTTCTGGGTTGAAGGCAGGATGGAAATTTCTTCCCCAATTTCTGGAACTGTAGCGGCATTCATCGTTGCCCATCTATAGCCCTGCATATTGGCATACGCCATTCTATGTTTATATTGCGTCCTTGCATTATCACATGCGACATATCTCCTGATCTCGAAATGAAATTCTCTTGCCTGGGATTCCATATGTGGCCTTGTAGCTTTTGGCAATGAACTCAACGCCAACTGAAAGATTGAAGGACAAGGGAGTGTTCGAGAAGGGTGTGAGCGAGAGTCAGTCGCATGGCGATATTGTTTATCGGGGTATCATAACAGGCAGGGAGGTGATATTCATGAAATAGCATCCGAAAGCGGTCCTATTATTCAAGTAAATAACTATAGCTATTGGTCCAAAGAAAGTTCTTCATATTATTAGCCATGCTACCGAGCCGATTAAGAAAACCATGTTAGCCCTTACGCAACCATCCCTACTCCAGTATGTGTTAGATAGCGAAATATATGGCTATGGTTTCCTCCCAATAACAATATGCACTTTTAAATAGAGATGCAAGGACCGATCCTGAAGCTCCGCTCGGACGTCGTCACAAAGATCGTTGACCTCTTCCCGAGTCCATTTCAGCACACGGGTGAATAAAGCAGGAGTGTATGAGCCAACAGCTTGCACCGCCTGCACTTGCTGAAATTTACCTATCTCCTTCAGCTTTGGATCCTTTGGCCAAGTGCCAACTGGAAGCTATGAGAAATTTAGTAACATGCAGCGGAGAAGGTAGTAAACAGGTCAGAGTTACCATTAGGACCTGGACCTGGACATCTTTAAAACCAGCCCTAACCATTCTGCTGGGCCAGGTGTGGGCTTCGGTCAAGGATTTGCCGAACATGCCACTAGCTCTTTGCAGGTTTGCAATGTAGCTGGGTAGAACTTTTGCTCTCGCCATCCCTCCGTCGACTGAGAAGACTGATGGGTCGGTAGTTTGCATCTCAAGCCATCCGCCGGGGTTTAGATTTTCAAATGCCTGAGACATGAAGCGATCATGATCACTGATGGATCCCATGAGCTCACGGGTATGTATAAAGTCAAAGCCGGATGAATACGACCACTCGGTTTCGAAGTCGTCGATTTCAAAGATCACATTAGGCGGGACCCTGGCCAGATGTTTTAGCTTGACCCATGGAAAGTTAAGGTCATAAGGTATACATACCATGGCGACTGGATGGCACTCAAGTCCGTTCCTAGTAGGATGAGTGAGCGATATATTGAAATATGATTGATAGTGGTGAAATGACGAAATAGACATACCGTAAACTTCAGCATTCGGATGCTCACTATTGAGGCTTCTTAGTCACTGTCATGGTAGATAAAGCAACTCAATGCTTACTCTGCAAAGTCATTTGCCCATAGGCCTAGTATCAAGTCAGCCTGGTGTCTGCGGTCAAGTCGAACGGAAGAGATACACACCTGTCCCTGTTCCGAGGTCCAAAACTCTGCCCGGATTCGATATCGGTGCAAGGTACAGTGCACCGCCTAGGAGTAAAAGGTAGATGTGGTGAACAAAGTCCATGCGGTCTTGCTCCTCTTTATCATTGGGCTATGGATAGATGTCAGTATTGACTTGGTCTCGGGAGTAGGCGTGGTGATGAATGGAGGAGTATAGAGGGTATCAAACGCATACGAGTGGGTATATTCCTTCACGAAACGCATGGTACCGTCGGCCGTTCTATATCAACAACTAACTATCAGTGGAAATTGAATTTGGTATAATCTCAGTTAGTGGCTTTTGTTTTCTAACCTCATATCTAAACACATGTTAGTTACCTTTGCATCAAACGCCCTGAGAGGGTGTTGCTCACTTATAATTGAGAACGCTCGAAGTCAAAGAGCTTAGGTAGCTCTGTTCATCTGCACTATCGTAGAGTATGGAGTATTAGTTGGTGTAGCTGACCCCGAGGAAATAGGAGCTAAGGTTTTACAATTCATCTTCATGATCGGCCTCTTTGCACGCCGCCTGTAAGCAACATCAGAACTTGGTCAAACAAATGCAGCAGACTTGAGGAAACTGTTGGATTTTAGCGTACATCAATCTCAAGACCTCGTTCGTCTGCAACAGCAACCATGGTTGCTTTCAGCTGTAAAGGAGATGCAACATTCGGTGTCCCCTGAACCCGGCCGGCCAAGCATATAAGATGAAACCAGCCGTGATAACGAGTATCGAAGACGGTTCACAGGGCAAGATCACTTGAGGCGAACAGGAGATGTGAATGACAATATAATATTGTGTCCAGGAGAAGAGTCCTTGGTGCTCTATGTTTTGGGGATTTAAGTACGGAGTATGCTTTCCTTGCCACTGTCTAAGCTTTAGACAGGCAAATGAACCATCTACCAGATAACCGGAACAACCTAAAGGGCTGAAGGAGGAGCATGAAAAGGAGAGGAGTTAAAAAATGAAAATGACGGGGGTGGGAGAGGAGAAAAGGGCCCAACAGTCGATTTAGATAATTAGGAGAGGAAAAAGTCTGTGTGAGTCGTCTGTCGGCACTCCACCCCGGTGCATCAGGTTCGTACTATATACGCTTCTGCATATGCAAGATAGCGCTCTCTTCCCCGTCTTGATGCGCTATGGCTCCAGTTTCCCCCTATGGATTTGGGTTTGCAGCAGGGATGATAGCGTGGAATTAGTCTGGGTAGCTTTGAAACGGGAGAGAAGGGGGCTTTGTACGTCGAGAACGTCTGGAGACGGGTCCGGATGTGAATACATAATATCCATGTAACCCCCACACAGTGACATGCCTCTCCTCTCTAAGATAAAGATCTCTCGAGACAAAGAAACGTCGGCTACGGAGTATGATCTCTGCAGATGCTAATAATAACAGTTTTTTCTAACTGTTTAATTCATCTGTCGGGTCGACGGAGCTCCTTTGGTGGATGGTCGTTGGCTCGTTTGGTCCGCACTTGTGGTCTGCATATGCAAAAAGAGCGCCTCCCACCGACTTGCCGCTGGACCAGCCCGTCGAACTCCACGGCCCTGGGTAAGATGGCATCTCGCCACGAAGAGAGCGAGAACGAGCAGCGAAGGGGGGAGTCGAGTCGTCGATAAGCAAGCAAACAAAGAACGCTGTCCAGTGAACCCTGGTTGGGTGTATGAGGCTGCTGGTTTGAACTCTGCCCGCAGAAACTAGCTTAAGCCCCAAGCCAGTCCGTATGCCAACACTCCTGTTGACTAAGCAGGGATAAGTTGACCTGTATCGACGGATGTTACGGAGTTGACTTTGCCCATCCCCATCCATGCATGGCAACATTTGGTTTCCAGGATGCGAGTGTTCTCTTCTTTGATGCGAAGAGCCGTCAACCAGAGCCTGATATCGACAATACGGCGCAGATTCCGGATATGTATATCGGTCCCATGGGCAAGCCCATACTCCATACTCTGTTGTCCGCACCCCTGAGAACTCCGTACTCTGTACGGAGTAAGTCTCCTTTTCAAGAAGGATTAACATCCAGCATGACGGGGCCTAGGCTGTCACACCCGAGACGCTCCAATCGTCTTGACTTTCTCCCACCTCCAAAACGCGCTGTTGATCTATCAAAATCTCGACCTCTTGAGAAAAGCCATCGACCTTTTTGTTTCTTTTTGTTTCTTTTTCCTTTTTTCCTTCCTTTTTCTGAATGACTAAGCCTAATAACGTGACTGTAGACTGGATGACTAATGGAGATAACGTGACCTTGACTTTATCACATGACCATGACTAAGCAACCAATCAGACCCGTCATATTTCGCACCCCGTGCACAGGTCACACCGCCTTCGAGCTTAGTCATCTCCCCTTCTGCCGTCATCTTTTTTCTTCTTTTTCTTCTTTTGCTGCTTTTTCTCGATAAATAAAACATCATCATCGTCACCTTCGCAGCCGCCAACAAAACCAACCGCCTTACCCTGTCCTGCCTTAGCCTTGCTGCACCAGCGCCTGACAGCTCCTTACGCCTGCCAGCGAACACCCGACTTGCGCGACCCGCAGCTCCTCATGTCCTCACGCCTCTCCCGCCTGCACAGAGCTTATCGAGGTTCAGTGGCTTTGGGATAACACAGTCCGTCTATAAACCGCTGTCGCTCACTCTACGAAGCACATCAGCGTACGGGGCGTTGACAGACATCAACGAACGCCCGAAGTACAAGAAAAAGGAACAAAACCACCTTGCAGACAGACCCACACGGGGTTTGGTTATCTGATAAGGAGCTGCCTTACCCCTCGTCCTCCTCCGCGGCCACAAAGATATATCCCCCCATACATATATCTTGCCTCCTTTCATCACCGACGAAACAACGAACGAACGAAGCCCGCTACATCTATCTATATTCATACAGAGATACGGAGCAACGCTACCATGCGCGACCTTCGACGCCGTGCTCTCGAGAGCAACAAGACTGTCTCTCGGAAGGCCCAGAGTCGGGGAGTGTCTGTACCTAACTCGAGAACGCCGTCAGCCCACAGCTCTCGCCAGTCCTCGAGGAATGTCAGTCGCCACCCTTCAGACGACGAAGAAGAAGATGACGATGATACTCGGAGTGTAGGAACTGCCTGGAGGTACGTATTCATTTTTTATTTTTATTTTTGGCCTTCGATCTACATCATATTAGCTTCGTCATCTAACAGTTTTGATAGCAATATCTCGGCTGAAGAGTCCACTGCGGGAGAAGACGCCGAGAGCAGCCGTGCTCCCTTGCAGGATGTCATCAAGGAACTTATCGATCGGAAACGCAGCAGTGTCCAGGGACGAGAGGACTATCTCCACGCATTTGTCCGGATGCTGACTGCCCACTACCAGGAAGAAGAGCTGGGTGAGCAGATGGACGAGCTGCTCAAGGTGTTTGCCAAATCCATCAGATCCGAAATCAGCGACAAGGAAACCATCCTAGCTCTTAGGGCTACGGCTCTCATGGCCGTAACCATGCTCGACGACACCATCTATCCATCCATGAGCTCAGTCGTCAAACGAGCCGTCATGGACTCCGCTTCCTTCGCTGTTAAGGCCGCCGCCATTCGAACACTGAGTGCCTGTACCATCTTTGGAGGAGCAGGTGACGACGGCATACTCGAACAGATGAATTTCCTGATGGAAATAGCCATGTCTGACGGTGCCTACGTCGAGGCTGCCGACGACTCGGACACCGTTACCGCCGCCTTGGAAGAGTGGGGATTCCTCGCCTCCCACATAGAAGACCTCGAAGTTGAGAGCGAAGAGGCCGTAGAGGCCTTTGCCGACCAGCTGGAGAGCAGCGAGACCAGCGTGCAGGTTGCAGCTGGCGAGAACATTGCCCTCCTCTACGAAAAGAGCTACACGCCCAGGGAAGAAGACGAGTCGGATGAGGAAGACAACTACAACGTCACCGACGACGACCGTTCATCCACCCCATCAGACGATGAGGACGATAACGGTGCAAAACTCATCAAGCGATACGACGCATATCACAACACCCACCGCATCATCAGACAGGTCGAGGCTTTGGCCCATATCTCCGGCCGTCACATCAACAAGAAAGACAAACGCTCCCTGCACACCAACTTCACATCCATCCTGAACACCGTCATCAACCCCCGCCGTGGCCCACAGTACAGCAACGCAATCGACTTTGAAACTAACCACAGCTACGGCAGCCGCAAGACAGTCAAGTTCCATCGAAACAGCTACATGCGTGTCGACCGATGGTGGAAATGGATCCGTCTCGCCGGTATGCGCAGGATCCTAGGAGGAGGATTCATCGACCACTACTTTGAAGGTAACAGAGCCATCCTCGAGACCTTGCCTGTTACTCTCGACGTAGGCAACTCCGGACCAGCTTTTAGCGGTGGGAAGACCAAGTCTGGCAAACGAGGAGCCGGAAGAGTCAAGGGCGCCGACGTTCTCTCTACCTCTCACTAGCTTTCTTTCTTTCTTTCTTTCTTTCTCTGTATTCGCATTTCTATTCTGTTTCATCTTTACTATGTTTACGATATCGATTTGTGATGGATTTTCTTTCACTTCTATCTACGTATTTGGGTGGATGAAGAAGTATAATAAAAAGGGAGGCTTGCTGGATTAGTCGAGCTGGTTTACGGTGGCAACTGCATATTCGGGCATCTATCCTATTCTCTGGATTTATTTCTTTTACTCGTTGTTTGATTTGATGTTAGAAAGCTGATTCTGCGCTCGCCTAATATCCAAAAACAACCAATGCGAGGCTATTCATATAAACACCATCTATATACAAGACAAAATGGCATTTGATTCATACATACATCTATTCACCACAACTACAACAATATAATAATTTAACAACCGCCGAATAACATCATGTATTCAATATAATTCTATAAAGGAAAGCATCCGAATTATGTACATTTCTAGATATGCGATTCTGATTGCCAAAGGTACCATTGCATACATGCTAGAGAGGTCATTATTATGATAACTACACGGGTAGACGATGGGAGGTAAATATGTATAGATCGAGGGTATGAGGGCTTGAGTAGAGAAACACAACATAACGCGATACAACAGGATAGAATAACAGCAGAAGAGAAGAGGGCAAAAAGTAAAAAAAAGAGAGAGCAATTGGATGAAAGAACAGAGTGCGATAATAGAAAGAGATGGATGGATGGATGAATAGATCGATTGATAAAACACAGATGAAAGGCAAGAAAAGTTAAGTTATACGGCGGAAAGCAGAGAAAAGGAAAGCAAAGCAAAGATATGAAAAATGAGATGAGATGAATGGCGCCGGTTGAAAATGTAGATGGTTGGATGCAGGTTTAGTTAGTTAGTTTGATAGTCAAGTGAAGGGTTAAATTATATCCGGTTCTGTTGCTGGTTTCGCCATGTGTCGGATGAAGGGGGTACGGGTAAGGGGCCCTTTGGCGGAGGACCAGCTAGATGCGGAAGACCAGCGGACTGCGAGCCATTCCTGGTAGAATGGTATACTGGTGAGGGTGCTGGGCGAGGAGCGGCAAAGGGGCCCTGAGAGGTGGATGTGGCGGAGTGAGGATATGGCGAGCGAGAGGAACGAGGCACCTGGCCCTGGGTGTTGAGTGATAGCTTCTCGAAGCCCATAGACGAAGAGCCGTCAATGCCGTAAGAGGCTTGTGGGCGAGATCTGGGTGTGATGTCTCCTGCGATGTTGAGCGGGATGTCTCCTGAAGTTGCTTGGCGGGGGGTGTCATCCGGGGTGTGAGGACTGGAGGAGGATGGGGATTCGCCTGATCCTCCATCGCGGGTGATGGCTTTGGGGGCAGGAGGTGCAAGGTATGACTTTCGGTTGTGCTGCTCCATCATGCTGATTGCCCATTCCCGAAGGTTGACAGGGGTTCTCTTAGCAGCTAGAATGAATGCATCGTGGTCCTGTAGATGTGTTAATTCGTGTTATAATAAGTAGGAAGTAGATAAGAGCATGGATACATACGTATAGCTGTCGTGGGGTTGGTCGTTCTTCGGGTTTCTTCAGTAGACACTTTGCAACGAAGTCGTCTAATATCTTTGGAAAGGCATCACTCTTGGGTAGCTTCGGAGCTGGTTCGTGCACGATCTGTTGGAGTAGGTCAAGGATGCCCATAGGTCCTGCACTTGCCCGGTCTCCGGCAGAGGTATCGGATGTGTCGAAGGGAATCTTCAACAGCAGTCATGACGTCAGCGCACTCCAGACGTCGACGTACAGA